TTGTGTCGAGCACATTTGTACATTTGTTGCCATTATCATTTTCAGAACATTTTCTTTCTATTTGAGCCCTTGATATATTAGAGCAATATTATAAAAATACACAGACATAGAACCAAAGAGCTTTGTGTGTGTGTGTGTGTGTGTGTGTGTGTGTGTGTGTGTTTACACACCGGGCTGTTAATCACAAGGTCAGTAGTTTGAGATCACCAGCCACTTTGGGAGCGAGAGGAGACTCAGCTCTCATAATGAGATTCAGTCTTAGAAACCCGCCGGGGCAGTTACACCCTGTTCTAGAGTGCTCGCCTGGTTGGAATCGATTTGAGGGCAATGAGTTTTCCTGTGTGTGTGTGTGTGTATTCATGTACATATGGAATTCTATAGTTGGCATATTTTGGGAAGGATATTTAAAGATCTTTGTAAAAAGTTATCTATAGGGAGCGGGGGTGGGGTTGGATACCAGTAAACTTTTGAGTTTGCAAAACACATTTACTTCCACTTTTAAATGAAAATTTGTAATCGTGTTCATGTATTGTTGCAAAAAAAATCTTTTAAAGTATCTTTATAACTTGTGAGCTACACAAGTGTGTGATACAGAGTGAATTAAGGGTAAGTAGTGGCAAGGGGAAAGAGTACCTGCCTTGGCTAGGTTGTGAGGACAGGCCTGGGTTTGGCATTGCGTTGGAGCCATTACATAGTTAATAGGTGCCGAAAAGTTTTGAAGCAAGCTATGACACCACAAGACTGCCAGCCAAGCTCTCCAGGTGACTTTGCAGCGTTCCTTGAGAACTTGAACATGCCTCATGCATATTTTTATATGTGGTCTGTGCCTCAGACTATCATGGCAGGTAGTTACTGTGCTTCCATCTTGGCACCCCTGGCAACTGCTGTGATGTGTAACATGGACTTCTCCAGTACAGATTATCTGAATGGAACTGAGCTGTATTCAGGAGGTGAATTCTGTAGGATGTGGCCTTTGGCTGTGTCTAGAAACTATGGGAGGAGTCTTGGTGGTGTAGTGTGTTACCGTTGGGTTACTAACCATAAGCTCGGCAGTTTAAAACCACCAGCCTTTCTTCTGAGAGAGGAGACTTTCTACTCCAATAAAGATTTATAGTCTTGGAAACTCACAGGGGTAGTTCTATTCTGTTGGGTTTTTTTTGAGAAGCTGAGAGAGTGGTAAACTTATTCCTGTATTCTGGTATTCATGCATACATTCAGTTGTCCAGTAAACTGGGCAACTACTATGTGCTAGATGGTATGATGAAGTATTCTAGGGAGAAATGGCTATACCATTTTCGGCACTTAGAGACAGTTTTAAGGAAATGTGCTAAGTGTGACAGAATCCTTCTTAGCCTTGAGTTGGGGCCACAGAGAAGGGAAGCCTGGGCCAGCCTGGGCGGGTGGGGATGGGAGATAAGGAAGACTTCCTGTCACTTTTCAATCTGAAAAGATGTTAGCCAGGTAAGGTGCAAGAAGATGTGGAAGGGGCACTGTACCGAGGCCACAGAGCAGTGTGGTGCTGGATATGTCTTAAGGTATGTCCGGGGAGCAGAGCCACAGTCAGGTGGTGTTCCATTTATGTCTATTCATTCAGCACTTACTGATGATTCTTTCATCTCCCGGGAACCTGTTTTCAGGGTGGAAAGACGTAGAGCTGAAGAAGGTGGGAGGCGAAGCACTAGATGACTGCTGTGGTAACCGTATATACTTGAGTATAAGCTGACCCGAATAGCATCTGAGGCACCTAATTTTACCACAAAACTGCATTTAAAATGTGCTGGAAAACTGCTTATACATGAGTATATATAGTAATCTCTGTGAGCCAGCATAGAACCTGAACTGGAGCAGTCAGGATAGACCGAAGAGATGAAGAGTTATTCATTGAGCAAGTGAAAGAGTTCAGAAGGACACCGGAGGACTGATTGAGATTGCTAGAGAAGGGGGGATCCAGCTTGGCTCCCAGGTTCCTGTATCCGGTGGCGCCAATAGGTAAGACAGTACTTAAGGCGTACTGGGCTTGGCCAGGAGAAGTGGTTGGCTCTGTTTCGGTGAGGTGGCGTTGTGGAAAGCAGGAGTCAGTTTGGGGTGGAAGGTACATTTAGTTTGGGGGATTGAATAGGCGGCAGGAGGCGGTGGTGTGTGGTCGATTGTCCAGAAGACCCAGAGAAAGGACTAGCAGTGTGGATGAAGTCGCCTTGGGGGAGAGTAAGTAGATGGAGTGGAGAGAAGGGGGTTGGGGGTGGAGGGGAGCTCTGCACATCAGATTGAAGGAGCTGGGAGAAGTAGGGGAACCCTTAAAAATATAGGAGGAGGGGCTTCCAGAGAAGCCCTGAGGGCA